TAGTATAATGAAGAAAATTAAATATAAATCATAAAAGAAAGATTTCATTGTTTTTATTTTATTTTTTCTTTACTATTTCAAGGTTTCTATTATTGGTGTTCATTCTCCAAAATATGAACATGAAAAAAATAAAACAAATGTTCGACATGCTATTGAAGAACAATCAATTCCATTTGCAGTTGTTAATGATAATAATTTACAAGTATGGAAACAAATCAATGGTCAAGTATTACCAACAGCATTTATTTTTGGACCTGATTCATTACCAATATTTGTATTTGAAGGAGAAAATCATGTACAACATTTAGAATTATTTCTTGTACCTGTACTTTCTTTTTATAAATCAAGTGTACGTGCATCATCAAATAATACATTATCAATTAAAACTTCACCAGAAGATTTACCTGATACTAGTACACGTAAAGATAAATTTTTTTTTGTTTATTTTTAATCTTTGTAAAAATTAAATTTTTATAATTAAAAATAGCTTCAAAAACAATGAAATTTACATATCCAAGTCATATATGTATAACTTCTAGTGGACATTTATGTATTTCATTTACGGGTTCAAATCAATTAATTTATTGTGAAGTTGATGGAAAAGTTCTTGTAAATTTATTTCTAAAGATTTTTTTTTTTTTTAAATATATTAATCAAAATTTTTTCAAAATAGGATATTGTTGGTACTGGTCATGCTGGTATGGCTGATGGTGATATACCACAATGTGAATTTGATTCACCACATGGTCTTGTAGAATATAATAATTGTATTTATATTGCTGATACAAATAATCATGCAATTCGTGTGGTATGAAAATAATGTGACAAAAAGAAAAAAACATTTTTTTTGTTTTTTTTTCTTGTGATTAAAATTATGTTTAGTTTGAACCTAATTCACGTCGAGTAATTACATTGATTGGTACTGGTCGATTAGGAACAGATAAAATTGGTGGTCTTAAACGAAGTCAACAACCTATTGCTTCACCATGGGATTTATGTCTTACAGAATCACCATGTAAGATTTATTTTTTTAGACAAAAAATGACAGATTATAATATAACAAGTGTCGTAGATTATAGAACAAAATTTAAAATGTTAATATGTAATCATCGATCTGTGATAGTCAGAAGAAAAAAAAATTCGTTAAAACCATGCAAATTTTTATTAAATGTGTTTTTGCTGAAATTTCAAACATACCATAATATTCAGAATTAAATCCTATATCTGACAGTGCGATAACGATTGTTTCATATATGAAATCTTACATGTTGTTTTCAAAATGTATATAAAAATACCACTAGGAAGTCGTTCTAAGTGTTTTTCTTTATGAAAGACAGAACGAGGAACCGTTTATTATCACGATATTTCAAATAACATATTATCTAATGATATTATGTTTTTTTTCTACTAGTCGATCATAAATTAGTATTACTTATTTCAATGGCTGGTCAAAATCAAATATGGGCATATGCTTTTGAAGAAACTCAATGGTGGAATGATGTGTATGTGAAATATAAAATAATCTTTTATTTAATCGTATTTGTTTTTGTTATCATATAGTATATTACAAAAAAATTCATGTTCAGCAATAATTGGAAGTGGTACTGAAGAAAATCGAAATAGCACTGAACCTATGAGTGCTGGTTTAGCAGCTCCACATGGTATTTGTAATGGTATAATGAATAAAGAACCAGTATTATTTATTGCTGATAGTGATAGTTCAACTATACGTGTTGTTACACTTCACAATGGACATGTTGCTAATTTAGTTGGTGGTGATGCTGATCCAACAGTATGAGAAACAGAAAAAAAAATTATATTTTAAAAATTGAATTCTTTTTTTTTTTGTTTGAAATAGAATCTTTCAGCATTTGGTGATCTTGATGGTAGTGGTTATAATGCAAAATTACAACATCCAGTTGGTATTTCATTTCATTATCCATCATCAAAATTATATATAACAGATACATATAATAATAAATTGAAATATGTCGATATGAAAACTTTAATTTGTGCAAGTTATTTTGTAACAGATACAGATAGAAAAAAACAACGTGGTGAAACAAATTCAGCTAAATTTAATGAACCATATGGTATAGCTATATTTGAACATTTTATGTATATTGCTGATAAAAATAATTCACATATTAAACGAATTGATCTTGATCAAGGAACAATTGTTCGAGTAAATATATTTTAAATTTTATGTTATCAAATCCTCTTCTTTTTTTTTTAAATGTTCCGATATGAAAACTTATATTTTCGATTTCATAATTTGATATAAATTCATGAATTTATATAATTTATTTTTATTTTGTTTTATATTTCTAGCATCGATTTGATTTAAGGGAAACATTGAATGAAGAACGTTCATTCGGTTCGAAACAAGCTTATTTAACTATTGCTCTAGCTGATCCACTTCAATTACGTGATGGTAATGCTGGTACATGGATTATTGAAGATGAAGGTAAAATAATAAAAAAAAAAATTAAATTATTATTATAAAATCTAATATATTATAAATTTTGATAGATGGTTTTAAAATATGTGATGGTGAATTAACAAGTCATACATCTGATCAAATACTTTTAGATTATGTTCCACGTGATAAACAAGTAGCTCATCTTAAATATGAATTAATGGTATGTCAAGATGAAACATGTTCAATGATGAATGGTGTAGTTCAACCAACTAATCAAACAGATTCAATTATTGAATTTACCATTAAAATTGATCAAAGAGAAACAACAAACTCCGACTAGTCATGGTTTCTTTTTTTCTATTTATAAACCTGCAAATGTTCATGTTTTAATTTTTCTCATGTTTAATCTCGCATAGCATTGCATTGCATAAAAAAATCCCAATTGAAAGAAAATACATCAAATTTAATGTATTCGAAAAATCAGATGTACATAAAAGAGTTAACTTTTTATTGTTAGATTATATTATGTATTCGTTCTTGGATTGGATTAGATAAAAAAAAATTAACATTGTCATCTAAATTTTGATTTTTTGTTTTTTTCAATAAATTACATTGTTGTGTATAAGATGCTTTAATAACTATCCTGAAATCTTGTCAGATTTCAAAAAGAAAGTTTGATTCGTTTTGTTTTTATGCATTGTAATTGTATCTATGTTAATTAGTAAATAAAATTATTTGCGAAAAAAAGAAAAACACATTGATTACAAGCTTTGGATATTTACTATCTGAAAACTTTTATTGATTATAATTTTTATAATCTTCTTATGCTTTAAGAATCATTGTATGATATCGTTGTAAAGGAAAAAGAGATTCTAATACGTTCAATATTATTAGATCTACATTATGGTAAGAAATTACAGAATTGTTCAGAGCATAACTCGAAGGATTCTGTTGATACTTTAAAACTATATTTATTTTTGTTACCATCGAAATTATTTCATCAGCAAAGATTTAAACCAATAATAGAAGTTTTGCTATTCACAGATTTATTTGATAGAAACAAAGAATTGTAAAAATCTTCCTGTCATGCAATTATTTTATTTAATGAAGGAATCAAAACATGAAAATGACTTCTAATAAAATATTTTACCATTTAAGTCATTAATAATTAATTTGATGTTTCAAATGAACGAAATTATCGTTATTAAGAAATAGTATATATAATTGAGAAACGATACTTAGATAAATTCGAAAAAAATGAAGTGAATAAAGAAAAGAAATAGTATTCATTTTATTTCATGAATTATTTGGGATGTGAATGTACAACTAGATTAACAGTAGACATGCCCATACCCAATGAAAAGAAGATATTATGCGAAGAAACATAGAAGAGAATATAACCGAGGAAATGTAAGAGAATATTGACCCATGAAATCGATGATAATTTCATAATCATAATCAGAAACATACTGAATTATACTTTTCAACTTCGGTTCTAACTTCGACTCAGAAAAATTTTCTTCTGAATTATCGAAATCTTCCATGTTCGGCAGTATTATGTAATTAGTTTAAGATTAGTGTGCTATGACAAATGGTATCGGACATGACTATTGTGAGCGAACAAATATTTTTGTGTTAGAGATTAAACAGAAAAGCTAAAATAAAATGAAACTTTCGCATATTTTTATTTATCTAAAATGCTTGGAATGACAATGCAGATTTTATCCCGAGAAGAGACTCTAAATTTAATTAGAAAAAAGATGATTGTTTTCCATAAATTCCATAAAAAAATCTATAAAATACAAATAGTAATTCGGATAATTTCTATCAAGTTATCTTGCACAAAATAAAACGGTAGAAAGATTTTCGGAGTTGCTATAATTCATATCATTTTCGATTTCGACTCCATCGGAGTCACTTCTATGGTGCCCTTTCAATTTTTAAAACAAATGAATATTCGTTGTGTGATTTATTAATTAAACTATAATTTGTCGACAAAACGAAACTAAACTATATAAAAGTATAAAATCTTATATATTTTTAAATTGTCGTAAAACTGAGAGTAAAACATAGAACAATTAATACTCTTTTAATTTCTCTGGCTTTTTAATAAACGTTTTCATTCGAAAACAATCGATATTATTTATGCAAAAATTGTCAAACAATTAATCAATAACATTAGGGCTTAGAACGAATAAATGCACTTATATTATGCAGAAATAAGAAAATACAGAACTGAAATGACCAGTTGTCCAATATTATTTCTACAAATATTGGGTAAATATATAAACATATTGATCCTGAACTATTAAAGTATGAATTCTAACAAAGACAAACAACGAATTCAACATATTATTTTCTGTATTACAATGTAAAGAAAAAAGATTTTGTTAAGTGTTCATCCACAAATAGAAGAAAAAGAAACAAACAATACCATTTTTTCATGTATCCGGTGGTCATCAATTGAGATCCTCGAAAAACACTTCATTGGTCCCACTGACGACATCGGTCAAATAGATGAAATGCTCATAGCTATACAAATATTCATAGTTATAAATTAAACAAAAATAGAGAGGTGATGGTAACAATGGAACTTTTATTGATTGCATTAAATAATTTACCGGATGAAATTCTTTTGATAATTTTTACAAAATTAATGAATATTTCAATACTGTATTCTTTAATAGGTCTTAATAAACGACTCAACACAATTGTACGTGATCCAATTTTTACCAGTAATTTAACCTTGATGAGACATTTGTCAGATGATTCCATGTGTCCTTTACCTGATTCAATGCTTGATCGATTTTGCTCACAAATTTTACTTGAAATTCATTGTCAAATCAAATGGCTTGATCTTGAATCATCAACTATGGAACGTATACTTTGTGCTACAAATTATTCGAATTTATATGGACTCGGTTTATTTGACATAGACTTAGGCACAGCTCAATCTCTCTTTGTTGGTAAGACATTTCAATTCTTTCATTCAGTAATAAAAGCAAATATATATAGATGAAAACGAAACTGATTTATTTGGAATATATGTATCATACAAATATATTTAGATCAATGCACATGTTTTAAAAAATAATTTTCGAATTTACTATTATTTCTTAATACAAAAGAGTTAGAAAAAAATTAATAGTGAAAAAAGAATCGCTTATATTGAAAATTTTAGCATTAATCCTGAAAAAAGAAGAAACGAGAATAAAATATAACATCTATGATATGGCATTAGAGCCTGTCGACTTCAAGAATTTTTAAACAGTAGCATATCTATTGAACTATTTTTCAAATCAGATCCGATTGATTAGATTTTTTGCACACAACCTGATCGGTACTCATATTCTATGTACAATTATTCTAATTCGTCTCGATATGCGCTCTGCAGGTACGCTACATTTTTCGTTAATCTAAATTCAGCATCCAGGTTGCGCAACACATTTCTTAGAGTATCTTGATGATGTTCAAAGAAGTACGTAGTCATAGTTTATTTGAATTTTTAAAGTAATACCATCGAAACTCCGGTTGGGATCCATCAAACAGGGAGCTTAGAGACTCGAACTAAGATAGACTCTACATAGTATACACTATTGAATAATTGCAAAGATCACCCATGTACATTATTAAATTGCGAAAAAAATTTATATATCGCTTTAATTATCAAAATAATTGTTGAGAAATATTTTTCTCATTGAATTTAGATGCATCTTCATTAATTCATACATATAAAAATCAAATAACATCATTTATTATCGATATAAATAACAATAAGGAGCAACTATCAATAAAAAATGTCAATATATTTGTATTTACACATATTTTTATAACATACACCAATTTACAATATTTAAACTTCGGTTCAACTTCAAGTTACAATCAATATTTAATATTTCCGAATTCATCTCCAACTTTTATCTCCTCAAATCTCTTAGAATTGCATGTCACTTTTGGAAATTTCATCGACGGTCTTTATATACTTGATGGACGTTTCAATCAACTATGTACATTTCATGTTAATATTCATCGCATTTCCATTTTCGGTCGAGAACTTAATAACAAGGTAAATTATTTTCATTAATATTTTACGTATTCGAACAACTTCACAATAATTGTTTTAGGAAAAACTACCTAATTTAAAATGTTTTGTGCTACACTCTTATACTCTTACAGGTGCTTATAATGAATTAATTATACCACTGCTATGTCGGATGTCTAATTTAGAAAAACTTGTTTTAAATCTTTCTCTTTCTGTGAAAAAGGCATTTGTTGATGGAAATGATTTGAAAAAAAATATTATTAATCATATGTTACGATTAGACAAATTTACATTTAATAATCGCTCGGTTCTTTATCTTCATAACGAAATTAATTTACCATGTAATGCAGATATACAAAATACATTTTGTGATTTTAAAAATAACCATATCATTTCTTGCGTCGATTATTTCGAGGAAAAACAAAGTAGTCAATGTCTTATTTATTCATATCCATAGAAATCAAAATTTTATAAGTATATAACAAATAATTTTCCAGGTGGATTATTCAAATGTGTTCGTGAAATATCATTATCTGATGAACATCCTTTTGAACATGAATTTTTTCTTCGAATTTCTCAATCATTTCTCTTCATGCAAAAATTGACTTGACGCAATGCTAAACTACAAAATAACAAATTATACAAAGAGTCAAAAAACGACAATGAAGATATATCAATCATTAAATATCCTTATCTTACTAATCTTTCACTTAATATGTCTCATGATGATTATGTTCAAACAATTTCTACTTGAGACGAAGACTTGTTTATCGAATAATGTGCATCTTAACCTCGCTTATCAACCATTGAAATGAGTGACACACAATTTTGCAAGAGATGCAACACGAATTAATTGTCAAAAACTGAAGTCTTTATGTATGGATCTTATTCGACTTTGTAAACATGTCGAAAACTATTTTCCTCATACGGAAATATTCTGATTTATATTAGTGTTTGTTTAAATAAAATTTATTTGTAAAGAACAAGCATATTAAAATCTGAAACGAAAAGTTTTTGTATTTGGTTGAAAAGAAATCAAATGTATGTATGCGTGGAAATCATCAAGTATGATAAGATGTGATTGACAAAAAGTTCTTTCGTAGGAAAATATGTTTCAAGGGACATTTATAAGACGAGTTATTCGGCGACATTATATAATATGGCATAGGTTTCTTAAAATTCAGACATGAGTAAAAGAATTAGGACTTCAGAAAATAAACCTGTTAACATAATATGTGTTGCAGAGATGTGAATCATGCCTAAATACCGAGGTGGGAGCGGCAATTGAAGAGTAGTAGCGGAGGTAGACATCGCCCCAAAATGTTTGCGGCCAGTGGATCCGGAGAGCTACGCTAGTGTTCTACAGGGGTACGGTATTTTTCCTCCACGTCAAAAAGGTCAAGTTTCGTCAAAACAGCCGAAATTAAGATAAATCGAAAAAAAGATAGTCCGTGATCTAGTCTCTCCTAAACGACAGAATGTATACTCGACACTTTGTTTTTACCAGAGAGTTTTGAAAGTTTCCGTCATTCTGTATTCGAAAAGTGAGCGGTTTTTGGAAAAAAAACCAAAAATCTTTTTTTGGTTTTTTTCTGGTTTTATAGGTTTTCGATGGTATGTACAAGAATTCTCGAAGGAGCTTCATTGTAGCCAATAATTTTTTTTTGTTTAAATGCTCATATAGAGGGCTAGCTCCTCTCATGGCCCGTTTTAAAATAAGGTTTTTTTTATTATGATATAAGAAAACACTTGTGTAGACACGGCGCCATTTTTAGGAGCTGTTTGAGTCATTGAACTTGTCATCCTATTTCTTCGCTTTAAAAAATAAGAACTAAGAGAATGAGCCACGCAAGAGGCTAGCACTAAACGCAAGTCTTCAAATAAAAGGAAATTCAAATATATAGAATGAAGATTCGCTGAGAATTCTCGAAGATATAATCGAGCTACGTTTCACCCTTGTTTGGTGAATATCTCTGTCGAACGTCATGATATAGGGCTCCATGGCCTTTTCATACTAGCCCGAGCATCCTGAAAATTGCCTACAATTCGGATGTTCCTAGGCTAAGCATGAGTTTTAAGGAAGGGACCTTAAAGCAAAGAACAAGCATAAAGCATATAAAACTATGAGCAAGTATAACATGAGTCATGAGGGACGATTTGGCCAGTCAAACCACAATGTACACGAGCAAAATGCATAGATCATCGATGAAAGAGTAGGTTGAGAGGTGCAAAATGAGGACGGAATTGTACAAACATGGTGCTGAGATAAACAAGTCTCGAACATAATGTCAATTCTTGAGAGTCAAAGAAATTGCCATTGCACCAATCCCCCTCCTCCCTCCATATAGATGTATAAAAAATTATTAAATTTTGGTCGAATCGGTTTAAAACTCTGCATCCCTGTGGTAAATGACAGTCTTAGAAAATAAAATATTTTTTTAAAATCAAATGTAATTAATCACCGAGTAGGCTGCCGGGTATTCGATCCGGCTACAGGACGCTAGGCCGTACACTCTCTATTTGACGAGCACGAAGCAGTGCGGTCATGCCTAACAGTAACTGGAAAACTTTTTTCTCATATTTGTTGTGCTATGATATCTCTTAGAAAATATTATTTCTGAGCACTTACGTATGAACAGCAATATAACGTTGAAAATGCCATGAACAAACATTTAATTAGGTAAGATATGACCAGATACATATATATATATATTTAGGGTTATCGAAAAGTAGTGGCGGAGGGTGTGGGTGTGGATGGGGTGAGTGGGTGGCGGTGTGGGTGTGGGTGGGGTGAGTGGATGGAGGTGTGGGTGTGAGTGTGGGTGGGATGAGTGGCTCGAGGTGGGGGTGTTGAGTGTGGGTATCGCTCTTGTCCTCGGCGACATCCACTCACATCCACACCCACACCCACACCCTTATTTCAGTTACACTGTGGGATGACAACACGAAATTCGCTCTAATTCGAACATTTCTTTCTCAGTTTCCTATCGGTCAATTAATTCGACTACGTTCATTCACTCTCATTGACATAAATGACGAAGATTTAGATGAATTTCCAAAACATATCGTGAAGTATCCTCTCACAGAACTCTCAGTAATGTGTTATTCCTTTGTCAATGACAACGTAAAAGCATTCATATTATCTGCACTTTCATACAATGATCGCCGTAGACTCGAATTCGCAGGGCACAATGATGTTTTTAATCAAATACAATGGTCTGTTTCGTGTGGATTGCGACACTTAAAAATTCGTATGAAATGCATTTGGGATACAATTTACTCTATTATAGGTCACTTATCTCATCTACAAACATTGGTTTTAGACTTTTTTTCTGCAGATTGATTCGACGAGCCTACTTTTACACATCCAGACCCCCTACACTCAACTGATGTAACTTCATTCTTGATGAGCCAAACTAAGTGGTTAACAATGGACAATCTTAAGTTTTTTTTCACTTTTCCGTAGACTAACACACCTTCAACTGTTTCATTGCATATATTTGAAGATTCTTCATTATTTTGACGGTTATCAATGGGAAAATTTCATTCAAATGAAACTGCCTCTAATGAAGTAGTTCGAGGGCGAGTGTGGGTGTGTGGAGCACTGGAATACCTACACCCGCACGCATACCCACCCACACCCACCATGTTAACTTCATCAAGCAAGATGCTCATGTTCAGATATGAACATCAGTCATTTTTTTCGTATCAATCTTTATCTCAGACAGAAAATTCATTTCTTGTTTATGTATAACAGCATGACGATGAAATGAAAAACAAAAAGACTGATTGCTGTTTGAATATATTTCTTGCGTGTATAATCTAAATAGTAGAAGAAGACTTGATTAGTTTTTAACATGTTGATTTTCTTTTTATTGTATGAACAAAAACAATTCTTTTCTTGAATGCAATAAACATGACAGAATTGTTCGTAAAAATGAAGAATACTCAAGAAGATTTAAACTTAATTGTTATTTCTATTATTTTCATTGTATTGTTATTCATTTCTGTGGGTATTCACAAGAACAATGAAATGAAAATAGTCAATTATGAATGTTCATTATATAGGAACAGTTATTCAATAGATCTAATGAAACAAAGGAATATCGCTTATAGAGATGCTGAGGTTCAATTCAATTTTCTACAAAAGTTTGTTTTTCAATAGGTGATCAAGTAAACTTTATAAAACTAGGTAATTCTTTGTAATATATCGAATGTCATATTTCTTTTATTCTCTTTTGTTCTTTTTATCATCTATTACAATCATTCATCTGTAGAGGATAAAAAAATAATTATGATTGTCAAATTGAAAGTGAAGAGGTGAATATAATTGAATGCAATTGTTCTTATTTATATATTCAATTTATTATTCGAAAAAGTGAACATTATTTATGTTGAATATTTATAGTATTGCACCAATACATACAATGTGATTTTTTCATTTTTCAAAGGCTTTTATGAACCTTGTTTCAAGGTCGAAGTATTTTAGACATAATTTCACACGAAGACTATAACGTATGTCGTAATTCTTGATCTGAAATAACATAGTTGATTAGGTAAAGTTGATGAAAAATACAATGACAAGATTGCGATATAGTTTTATTCGATCGATCGATCGTAGAGTGCATTCTATCATTCGGGTTTTATCCGTGACTCACCGTCACAGTATGAAATTTTAGCTGCGCAAAAACGTTTTTACGCATGCGCACATGCTTGTCATTCGAATCCACATTTTATCAGTATATTATCACTTCCTCTTATCGAAAAAGAAGGCGAAGAAAAAGTTTTGTCATGTAAAATCACTTGATAAAATTATTGAGATTTTCTTAATTATTGATTCATATTCATAAATATTTATTAGCGATCATCGTCGTCACCATCTTCATGCATACATATATATTAACAATGACATTGTTCATTATCATTTTCTCATTCGATTTTGTTTCTTAAGACGTTTACATTGAATCATGGTTCCATGGTTAATAGTGTCCCTGATATAACAATTGATTTGTTTAAGTCTTATGATTTTCAACCTGCATCTAGATCATCTTCGATAGAACTCGAGAATATCAAGTAAGTAAATCTTGAAAATTCTTGTTTAAAAAAGAACAAAACGAATATCGTAAATCCAAGTATATAGCGTGCGGTTTGAATACAACGCGAATCAGTAGGAACCTACAAGCAGTGCATCAGTATCAGTTGGATACAAAGATTGATTTCATTCATACTCAAACTCACAATCAAAAGGTACGTCCATCAGCTACTGTCTACTTGAAGGTGAGCGTTAAGAAAAATGTCAATCTGAGTCAAGGCTAATCTATATTTATCACTTTTTTTGCACTATTCAAGTGTGATTAATACCAATTTCAAAAAAGAAAAAGTGTGAGTATTTTTTGAATAACTTTTGATAGAAACTAAGTAGAGAGGTGCGGTTTTCATCGTTTAAAAGAGGAGATG